TCCATATGAATGGCCTGTCCTGGCTCAGGCTTCAGACCTTTATAAAATCTCTCAAACAAGTAGCAGCTGGCATCAGTGTGCCCCATAACTCTCAATAAGAGGCCCCAGGCCCAACATTAGCAGCAGCCTGCCTTGCTTCACAGCTTGGCCTCTCCTGGGAATTTCCAAGTCCAATACAAGTAGCAGCCATCTGCAGATTGCTCGGAAGCTCCTGAAGGGTGGCCCCAGACAGGGCTCAGGCAATGGCTTACTTTTCCCTTCCAGGGGGGCCCCAGAGCCAGTGTGTCTGACGGACAGCTTCAGACGATGCCAGATTACAATTCAACACATCCACGAGCAACACAGTCAAGGGACAGACTCAGTGAGCACCAAAGCCACGGTGAAGCCAGTCCTGCTCCATAGGGGTGTCTCCTGCACAGTAGCTCTTCCACTGTAGTCATACCTGGTCCTCACAGCCAGCTGGCCTGGGGGTATATCTTTCCCAGTGATGCCAACAACAATCAAGGCTCAACTACAATAAGACAGTGCACAAGGACACACCTGGAATGCCCAGCTCAGGTGATTAGGGAGGCTGAGCAACTGGGCCCTACACATAAGGTCATGCTACCAATTCCAGGAGACATAGCAGCTCTACTTAATAGATAGAAACAAACAGGATAAGTCAAAATGCAGAGACAAAGGAAAAGAATAGAATGAAAGAACAGAGGCAATCTCTAGAAAAAGAACTAAATTAAATGGAAACAAGCAAACTACTAAATACAGAGTTTAAAACAATGGTTATAAGGATGCTCAAGGTACTTAGTGAGAATTTCAAGGAAATTAGTGATAACATCAAAGTTATGAAAAAAGATGAATTAGAAATGAAGGATATACTAACTGAAATGAAGAATATTTTACAGGGAAGAAACAGTAGAGTAGAGGATGCCAAGAATCCAGTCAGCAATTTGAAATATGAGGAAGCAGAAAGCACCCAATCAGAAGAGCAAAAGAGAAAAATGATCCAAAAATATGGAGCTAGTGTAAGGAACCTCTGGGACAACTTTAAGTGAACCAACATTCACATCATTGGGCATGCAAGAAAGAGAAGAGAGAGAGCAAGATATTGAAAACCCATTTGAAGAAATAATGATAGTAATTTCCCCTACTGGATGAAAGATACAGACTTACAAGTCCAGGAAGCACAGAGAGTATCAAACAAGAGGGATCCAAAGAGGCCCACACCAACACACATCATAATTAAAATGCCATAGGTTAAAGACAAAGATGGAATCTTAAAAGCAGCAAGAGAAAAGCAGTTAGTTACCCACAAGAGAGCACCCATATGACTGTCAGCTGATTTCTCAACAGAAACTTTACAAGTCAGAAGGGAGTAGCAAAAAATATTCAAAGTGATGAATAGCAAGGACCTAAAACCAAGTCTTCCTCTCCAAACACAGGCCTCTCAGCCATTGGACCCTGCCTATGGCCAGGGGGTGGGCCTTTATCTACCTAAGAAGGATGCTGAATGTGTGCTTGCCCCTAATATATGTCTCCTTCATGAATTGTCTTCATTCCCATTATCAAATATGCTCTTTTCAAGGCCTAGAGCTTCAAGAGACTCTTATTAAAGCACGTACTTGACCTGAATGAGTTGATTGAATTAATTAGCTATCTCACTGGATCCTGAGAGATCAATTTATTTAAAGGATTAGAGGGCAGGAGAGCTTCCGGTATGGAAGGAAGAGGTTGTGACCTGAAAACACGCGGGTCAGTTTTTAATGCCCACCTTGAAAGTAACCCTCCTCTCTGTCCTCAGCTCTCATTAGTCCAGTTTATTTGAGAGGGTGACCCCTGGAGCTGGGCTTCCATTGGCTGAGCCTCAGAGGAGAGTTTACCTCCATTTTCTAGTTTCACCTGGAAACTATCACTTAGGTGATCTCATGATTTTTTCCAGTTCCGCAGTCTCCACATCCTGCATCTACTGCCAACTCTTAGTCCTGGTTTTACTCCCCAAGGAAAGGAAAGAATGATGCAGCTGAATTCTGGGGAATACTACAGAAAGACATAGCAAAGTAGGAGAGAGAGGGGCCAGGAAAGGATAGAGAGCAAGGCTGTGGAGACAGCGACAGGATTTAGGCCTTAGCCCTGAGTCAGTCTATTTATGCCCCATGGGCTGTTTTACCCAGTAGGATTCATAAAACAATGTTCCACAGGAGCCCAGCATTCCTTAAACACCTGGAGGGGATGCTGTGAGCCTTGGCCAAAATAAAATCTTTCAGCATTAGAGCAGTAATCAAATTATGCTACAGCTTCTTTTTCTTTGCCTTACACGTGTGTGTGGATACCTGTCTTTATAGAATGGTTACTGCTTTGTCCAGATTCTCAGAATGAAAGGGAACCTGGCTCCAGAGCAAGGCATGATGCAACAGCTCCTAGGGGTGGGGTGGGGCTGCTAAAGAAGGGCTCAGCCTTACCCAGTGTAGGCCACTGTGCCAACATGCAGGGCCTATAGTACCATACATTTTGAAAAAGAAGTAAGGTGTCTACATACTTTAGTGAACTCTATTTTTAAAAAGTTGGTAGCCGACTACAAACAAACAAAACAAAAACAAGAAATGCTTCTTCTGGCCACCTGGAAGGTGATGGTTTCTGGTCCAGGGCACCTGTGGCTGGGTGCCTTGGTTTACAGACTGGCTTGGCTGTTCCTTTGATGGGCATTGGCCTTGTGGACAACTGGACAGTCATTTGAAGGTGTCATCCTCAACTCACACCAAGGGCAGATCCCAACCCGGTATGGGGAAAAGGGAGTTTAGGGAGCTCAGATGGACAACTGGAATTGAGCAGAGCAAATGTTTCAGATCATATTGACTCAACTGGACTTGTAAAAGTATTGATTTCTCAGCATTCCTCTTGGACTGCACTTAAATCTAACTAAAAACAAGTTTTGTACAATACTTGAATGTTATTTCACTTTTTGCTGTGGTTGCATATAAACCCAAAAAAAATAAATACATAAATAAATAAACCATATTTTACTGGGCTAATCTTCACCTATAGTCAACACCAGAGAATGAGCTGGTGGACTCTAAGCAGTGAGGTTTTTCTGTTTCTTTGTTTGTTTGTTTTGCCACCAATTTCCTTAATAGCCCCTCTCTCTCTCTCTCTCTCTTTCTCTCTCTCTCTCTCTCTCTCTCTCTCTCTCTCTCTCTCTCTCTCTCTAGGAATTTGTACATTTCCTCCAGGTTGTCTAGTTTGTTGGAGTAGAGCTGTTCATAGTATTTTTTAACAATCATTTGTATTTCTGTGGGGTCTGTTGTTATTTCGCCTCTATTGTTTCTGATTTTGTTTATTTGGGTCCTCTCTCTTTGCTTCTTGGTGAGTCTGGCTAGAGGTTTGTCAATCTTGTTTATCCTTTCAAAGAACCAGCTCTTGGTTTCATTGATTTTCTGTATTGTTTTTTTGGTCTCTATGTCATTTATTTCTGCTCTAATCTTTATTATCTCCTTCCTTCTGCTCACTCTGGGGTTTTCTTGTTGCTCTCTTTCTAATTCTTTGAGCTGTAACTCTCTTTCTCTTCTTTCATATTCTCATCTTCCATGTATTCCTTCAACATCTCCCAAGTAGAACAGGATTACATTTCAAGCAGAAAATAAGTTATATATTTGATGCTTACTTGGGACTTGTGATGGTGTTAAGAAGGTGAGAACATTTTCTTTGAATGAAAGTCTGTGTGCTATGTGCTGTGCACCAGCCTCAGTCCTTCATATGTGTTCAATAAGTATTGTTTGATTCAAAAAATGAGCAAATGTGGCAAGAAAGAATGATGACATGATTTTATTTCATAACTGACAGCTTTCCCTTGAAAAAGTTAAGGTAAGTGTGTATAGTTCATCATTGGGCTCTCAAGTCTCTTAGGTGGACCACAGAACCTCAGGAGATGGGAGCAAGAGATGGCCTTACTCCTTATCCCGCCTTCATTCCAGTTCTACCTTCATCTTTGCCACATCAATATATTGATCTCTTAATACTTTTCTTTAAGTCAACCCTCTCTTTCATTCATTCATTCACATCATCATCTGAATGAAAAACTAGGATCTTTAGCAAACAGAACACAATATCATTCTTCGTTAATGTTGCTGGCAACCCTGGAGCTGGGGGCTTGTTCTTTTGTTAGAAAGGGAGGTCATGAGGGGTTAGGAATAGTAAGAACTTCTTTCCATCAAAATAAGATTTTCTTTTTCATGATAGACTCAAAGGATTGAAGGAGAATTGAAAAGGGAATAACCTTCCATGCCATTGAAAAATATAGCATATCTGAATACCAGCAAAGCCTGTCTTAAATTGGGAAATTCTGATCTAGTCCAACTTCCTCATATTACAGGTAAGCAAAGGGAGGCAGAGAGCAGGACAGTGACTTGGCCAGCTGTAGAAATGGGACTGACCTTACATCCCAGAATTCTTCCCACTCTGAGAGGAACAGGGATGCCTAATCTCTCTACCTGTCTGTGAAAATATGGGTGGCTACATGAAGGAAGAAGTCCTGCGTCAAAATGCAGGGAGAAGTGGGAAGAGCTGGGCACTGAGGTAGTGAACTGGCAATGGTATGCATGGGGAATTTAGGGGGCTAAAGGGGAGAGGAGGTTACCATTTGTTATCTTGTCTAATCCCTTTTTTACAGGTGGACCAGAGAAGGAAATGACTTGTCTAGGGTCTCAGGGCCTCTCATGGCTGGGGGAGAGGGCCACTCCCTACCTCTGCCTTCCCAGCCTCGTTCTTTATAGGGCTCCACTGCAGCCCTCCAGCTCTGACATCTCTGCTTGTTTGTGAAATTGGAGGTGGCATTTTAAATTTATCATTATAGTTACTTTCCATCCACAGGAAGAATTACATCTTTATTCCTGCACCAGCTGTCCCAAGAGTCATGCTTGGGGCTGGTTACTCCTCTCCACCCTTGAGATGTCCAGCAGGAAGGGACAGTGTACCTGGGAATAATTATGGTGTCTGCCCCCCTGGTAACTCACCGCAAATCTCTTCCCACACCTCTCGTTGCCACAGCACCCACAGCAGTCATTGTTCTTTAAGCCCAGGAACACAAGCACAGGGAAGATCATCTGTCAGCAAGAGAAGCACCTTAGAATGGGTCTGGGATGTGAAAGTGAAGCAGGAATTTTAGGGAAATATAGGCAGTGTTGTGCCCAGATTTCAAGATTCCCAAGAACCCACAGGGAGCCAGTGAGTCCGATGCAAAAGCAAAGAGTCATTCATTTCAAACCTAGGTTTGGCTCCCCTGCCACACTCACCGATGCAACGGTAAGCTCCAGTGGCCGAGAGAGAGCGAGGCCTGATGGGATTGTGGGTTTTATAGTAAGGGCAGGGGAGGGGACTGTGGGCCCCGCCGATTGGCCAGGCGCCAGTTGGGTCCTGGGTGTGGCCAGCAGGGGCCTGGGCTTCCGGGAAGAAGGCACTCTCCTGAGCACACGGCGGCTACCCCAAAAATGGAGGACCCAGGGCAAGGTGGAGGGCGCAGTCCTAGCCCCCCGCCCCAGGGCGAGCTGAGCCCGGGCTCCAGGGGCCAGTCCAGTTGCTGGGGGTCCAGCAGATCAACCAGTTCCAGCCCAGACAGGAAGTCCACGTCCTCCATCTCCTCGGGTGAGGGCACGCGCCCCGCCCCGCCGCCGCTGCTGCCGCGTGTGTCCGGTCCGGGGGCGGCAGGCGGGTGGCAGCCTGCGCCGGGCTCCCTCCGTGGGCTGGGGAGTCGGTGCCCGAGGCCACCAGCAGCGTGGTCAGGCCCCACGACGACTCGTCCTTTCAGGCAGGCTAAGGGATTTTTTAGAATTGGGGTCCATGGAATAAACACAGGGAGAAGTTATATTTCTATAACACCAGGAAGCCAGGTGCAGTTATATCTCCATAAGACAAGGGAGCAGCAACAGTTGTATTTACATAAGATAAGGGAACTGGAAGTAGCAAGAAAGGTCTATATTTATAAAATAAAGAGAAGGAAGCCCTTCATTCAGATGGAAAAGAAGAACATCCAGAGGGAATAGGGAAACAATGAGGATGGAGGGGGAGAACCTCACATGTCTCCTGTGAGGTTCAACCTTTGAGCCCAGGAGTTACTATACTAACCAACTGGAAGGGGAATATTGACCAATCAGAGGGGATATCAGGCACCAGGATCTGCAGCCTTTATAAGCCATAGAGAAAGGAACTCAGTGGGACCCTTTCCCCCTCCCTACTTGGAAGTCCATTCTGTGGGACTCTTCCCTCTCCCCACATGGGAGTCTGTACTTGTCCTTTAATAAATCTCCACCTTTGCTATACCACTTTCTGTCCTTGGATTCATTCTTCGATTCCAGCAGACAAAGAATCCGGGTTCCAGTCCAAAAATTCAGTATCAAAAGCAAGACCCACGCCTGCCTGGCTGTGTGAGGAGCCACAGCCATGATGTGAGACTTGTGGCTTAAGGTTATGGCAGGAATGACAGAACGTCGCTGGTGGAGTGGACCAGTGTTATTGAGTATTTTGATGCCATTTGGCTTAACTGCAGTTTCAATGGGCCGAGATTTCAAGATCTGACACTCCCAGTCTCCATTTAGATCAGCGGTTCTCAACCTGTGGGTCGCGACCCCTTTGGGGGTCGAACGACCCTTTCACAGGGGTCGCTTAAGACCATCGGCAAACACATATATTACATATTGTTTTTGTGATTAATCACTATGCTTTAATTATGTTCAATTTGTAACAATGAAAATACATCCTGCATATCAGATATTTACATTACTATTCATAACAGTATCAAACTTATATTTATGAAGTAGCAACGAAAATAATTTTATGGTTGGGGGTCACCACAACATGAGGAACTGTATTAAAGGGTCACAGCATTAGGAAGGTTGAGAACCATGATTTAGATGGTGGGTTAGGAAAAGAAAAAACAAAACAGGTTAGATTGTCATGATAAGGATCTCTCTCTAAAGCAGAAGCTCCCAGTCTCTACTGGAAACAGGAATAAGAAAGCCTTCATGCATGAGTGAGTGGAAGAAGAATCCTCTGACACCTATTTCTCTTGGTGGTTCAATCAATTTGCTATAAAGTATATTTCCACCCCCTTCTCCCCCTCCCCATAGCACCCTCTCTTGTTTGAATTAAGAAATTCTGTGACTTTCAGTTTGATTCCTGGAGCTTAATTGGCCCATGAGAACCACCAGACCAAGTTTAAATGACCTAGTAATGCAGCAGACAGGTCCTTGTCAGGCCCTAATGGAGAAGGAACAATTAAGGCACTGACTTTTCATAGAGCAATGCTTAGGCTTTTGTTAGCAGCTAATTATCTCCCTGGTTACAAAGTGCCCAATTTTGGAAGAATGGGGTGAAAATCTCCTTCAGGAGGATTTTAATACTCACCAAGAACCCGCTTCCTAATATTCCTCCAAAAAACCAGACCTCTTCAGAAAGGTGTTCATTGTTGTCTATCACTTTTCCTCCAGGGAAAAACAAAAGGATGTTAGCCAGGATGCCAAACACAGTGAGGGGAATGAGGGTGCCTCCCAGGCACTTGGCACACCCTCCGGTGCACATGCTGGGGAAGGATGGCACAGGACCGAGAAAAACGTCCCTCACTGCCTCCTTCACGGGGTCTCTTCAAAGTTATGAGCCAGAGGGTCCTAGTCAACGTCCCAGTTCAATTTGTATGTTGGAGCTGAGAAGCCAGCCAGCCTGGGAACCGTGCCCTGGCGTTGCTTCCACTTCTCAAATGGATCAGAACCTCGATGCTGATGGCTATTTATACCTTCTCCCTGACCCGGAGTCCTGGGTGTTTTTTTGAGCTCCCATAAATGAGATTATGTTTAGAGCAATCATTTAGTCATGGAAACCAATAACCTCTGTTAATAATCCACCGGTGCAGACAAGACACTCACATTGTTGCAATCGAGCACAGGGCTGAAACAAACAGCCTTTGGAACTACCCACCTTTCCTCTGACAGTGCCAGAAATATTCTCCCAGCTCTTTTATAAATCACTGGAAAATTGAATCACCTCCTAGCTAACCTCATATCCCCGAAGTAGTCAGTAATGGACAGTGTGTGAAAGGCTGAATGTAAGGTTATCCAGAACTTGTTTTCTTCAATGTAAAAGTGAGAATTCAATGGTCCAGTCAGGTGTCACTGAGCTCAGGCCTACAAGATTAAAAAAAATCAGTGTAACTATTTGTTTTATTGCCTGATTGCTGTATTTCTATACTTGTTACTGAGTTAAGATCCACCTCCTTCCGTACCTGAGATGGTAGAATTAGAAGAAAGTTTTCCCAATCATCCTGTTTAGCTACATCTTCCTTGCAGGAAGAAAAACCTCTACCTTTAAGGGGAAAGAAGGTTGGCCATGGATAGAGGAGAGGACACTGGTGAGTAGACTGGAGGCAGAGCTGGCAAAGTTGGAAGAGCAGGTAGAGAATGAAGGAAGGTGGCAGTAAAATGGACCTTTATTGAAACTGCCAGTGGCCAGGGGCAAGATTCAGTTACTAATTTGTGATACTTTGTGTCACTGAAGAAGGTCTCTGTCATGCTTAGACTAGGCCCTATGTTATGCAATGACTTGTTCTGGTACTGGTATTATGAAGAACTATGGGGTTGAAAAGGGAGCCTACTATCTCTTCTTTGAAAGTCTATAGTTTAGAATAAAGAATAATAGGTAGAATTTTATAGAAAGTTGAGTTTTAGCTAAATAAAAAGTATCATTATCATGATCATGGTGAGTCCTGTCCTACAATGGAGTTGGCTACCCCTCCCCGGGAAGCAGTGAGCTGCATTCTGCCAAGTCTCAGGGACCCTTGGCCAGGGAAGCTATGGGCCAGATTCTAGAGATGTCAGTTTTGATGGATGCTGAGTTTCCTTCTAAAGATTCTATGAAATATGTACTGATTGCTCTATAAGAGATACTTTTGGAAAATGCAGATTTGGAGTGAGAATAAAAACAGCAAATGTTTATTGAGCATACATAATAAATTGAGTACAAAGGAGCACTCTAACTGCCCCTCACCCTCCTGTGAAGAAGATATCATTTCTTCTGTGCAGGTAAAGACACTCCAGCTCAGACAGGCTAAGTATATTATCCAAAGTCATTCCAGCATAAGGGAGAGCTTAAATTTTAAATCAAGACTGTCACTAAAACCCAGGCTATAGTCTGGTGGTGAGATTAATAGACTTTCCCTTTTAGAAATAAAAAAATCATCTTTTCAATAGAATGACACTATGTGTACACTATCTGGACACAGTGAAACATACTTTTTTTTGAAGAACAAACAATTGTGATATTTTTCTTATTATAACATATAATAATAGACAAACATGGCAATTGACCGTACCTTCGCTATGCCTCCCATTGGCTAATCAGCACGATATGCAAATTAACTGCCAACAAAGATGGCGGCTAATTTGCATACTGGAGGCAGGGCGGGACAGCGCCATCCAGCCTGCCCTGCTGCCATCTGGGCCTGCTATGTGTGACCTGGGGCCGCTGGGCGGGGCAGCAGTGATCGGCTGGCCCACCCAGGCATCCCGTGTGGGACCCGCCCGGGGCGGCGCCCCAACCACCGGATTGGCCCTGCCGTGTGTGTGACCCGGGGCGGCGGGGCAGGCACCGAGGGATTGAGCCTGCCATCTGCCACCCGGGGAGCGGTCCTAAGCCAGCAGGTGGTTATCTCCCGAGGGGCCCCAGACTGTGAGAGGGCACAAGTGGGGCTAAGGAACACCCCCCACCCCCTCCCCTGCCAGTGCACAAATTTTTGTACACCGGGCCTCTAGTTATAAGATAATATGGGATTTTTTTTTTTTTTTGTAGAAAAGTCAGCTATACAGAAAAGCATATGGAAGGAATGAAAACACAGGCGTGTTCCCACCACCAGCAGATAAGATCTGTTATTATTTTTCTGACGGTTGTTCCCAACACTCCAAGCAGATGCTAATGAGCTGTATTTGTAACCCACCAGCTTTGCTGGGGAGTCTGGGGAGTCCCTTGGAAGAAGACAAAGGTTCTAGGGATGTAATGGTGGAGTTAACCATGGGAGATACCACCTTGGGACAAGGCAGCTCCCCTTTTTTCTCCATCTAGAAGTTACTACCATGGCATTTGAATAACACTGGTTAACACATAGCCTTGATGTCCTAGACTTTTTAGAAAAGCATCTGGAGTTGGAAATCTATACTATCTGAGTGAATGGATAAAAGTAAAGGATATGGTGAACCAGTCAGTTTTCTCCCGGGATTTCTAAGATGATGTGGAATGTGAGTAACTGTGAAGAAGAGGCCCTAGGTCATTTATTTCCTGTGCGAAGAAGCATCGAAAGACAGTCACCCTTCTGAGACTTCAAAACTTGATGGGTGACTAACTCATTTATGGTTCAACTATTTATTGTGTCTTTGGACCTTCACATAAGAAGTGGAACACCTAATCTAGAGAAAGGGATTGGTGGGGGAAGGGAGGCTTGGTGACATTCACCCTCAAGAGGGAATGGAGTCACCACCAGGCTACTCTAGGCACTGGACAACATGTAAGATTCTGGACTTCTTCTTGTGATGCCCACACTTGATGACTCATTGCTTGCTCTCTGCTTAGCAGTGAGGCCCTCCAACCTCCTTTTTAGAGACAGCAAGGAGGAGGTGGTGAGATTGAGTCCCACTTTGGGTCAAGTTCTGTAGAAAGAATATCTCAACAGTGAAAGCAGATGGCAGCTCTGGAAGGGACAAAAAGACAGTAGGGAATCTTGCAGGAAGAAAGGGAGATGAATGCAAACACAGTAGCTGTTTTCCTAGACCTCATACTCTGGGAGGTTCAACTGCAGAGGATTAGGCAGCAGGAAGTCCAGGGGTACCTCCCTGTGATGTAGGCACTTCATTCTGGAGCCAATAGAGCATAGAAGTAGATGTTTTCCAGGTGACTGATCACCAGCAGCTGCATATGCGATACTTAGGTGAAGCTTACTACCGTTTCTCAGCCTGCTAGACTTCTTTGCCTTGCAATGGATAAAAACTCATCAATCAGTGCAATGCAATTCAATCATTGACTATGTTTGACAATGTATCCACCAATATGTCAAGTGCTATTCTAGTGCGCAAAATACACTGAGTGGCCAGATTATTATGACCACCTGATGTTTGTAGGCAAATTAGACTTACACTGCATCCATCGTATGGGATATGGAAGCCGAAGGCCTGTTCGAACACCTTTGCTGTCTGCAGTTTCCAAGATAAAACAGCTTCAGTTCGCACAGGAACACAAGGATTGGACAGTCAAGCATTGGAAAAAAATCATGTGGTCCGATGAATCACGTTTCCAGTTGCATCATGCAGATGGCAGAGTGAGAATTTGGCAGAAACAGCATGAAAGCATGCACCCCACATGCATGAGTACAACCCTTCAAGCTGGTGGGGGCAGTGTTATGGTTTGGGGCATGTTTTCCTGGCATGATTTGGGCCCTTTAATTCATGTGGAACAATGTCTGAATAGCACAACATACCTAAGTATCACTGCTGGTCAAGTTCATCCTATCCTGTTGATGGCGTATCCCAATGGAGATGGCTTCTTCCAACAAGACAATGTGCCATGCCACGGTGCTCGTATTGTGCAGGAGTGGTTTCAAGAACATGAGGGAGAATTTACCTTGCTTAGGTGGCCCCCACAATCACCAGATCTCAATCCAATTGAGCATGTGTGGGACGAAATTAAAAGAGCCATCAGGCAGCTGGTTCCACAGCCATCAAATCTCACAGAACTGAACAGTGCTATTCATCAGGCATGGTGTCAGATTCCTTGCATCGCCTTTCAACATCTTGTGGAGTCAATGCCAAGAAGAATCACTGCAGTATTGAAGGCAAAAGGTGGCCCAACGAAGTACTGATGGGGTGGTCATAATAATCTGGCCACTCAGTGTATATCTGTCTTACTTTGCCCCCAACAGTACGATAACCTCTTACTTGTGACAGAGACAAGGGAAATCATGACAGAGGTTAAGTGTTGTAAATGCTTCTTAGCAGAACTAGGAATAGGTTCACCTGCTTGTCTTGAAGTAAGTCACTCTCATTTATTCATTTAGCACATCAGGGAGAGGTTGAGGGGCCTCAGCACATTCATATTCAGGTGTCATAAAGTTCAGGTCCCCATCTTTGCTGGCCTAGATTTTGGGGTAGTTTTACAACAGTGACTTCCAGAAGGAGGAAAGAAATAACAGAAAATGTCAATGGGTATTGCATATAACAAGAAAAAGAGCCATTTTACAAAACTTTTATAATTTGCTTATAGATATCTATAGTAATCTATAATAATAAAAGCATAATATGCAAATTGACCAAATGGCCGAAAAGTAGAACGACTGTCTGGACAACCACTCTATGACATGCACTGGTGCCAGGCCAGCCAAGGCAGGTGTGATGTGATTGGTCGGGGGGGGGGGGCACCATTGCCCCACAATCGCCCCACAGAGGGAGGCCCAGGCCACCGGCCGGTGGTGCTGTGGTGGGTGGGCGGGGCCTCCCTTTGAGGGGTGATTGATCAGTGGGCTCTTGGACTGTGAGAGGGTGCAGGCGGGGCTGAGGGACACCTCCCCCCCCGTGAGTGCACAAATTTCATGCACCAGGCCTCTAGTTAGGTAATAATGCAACATGTTTTGTTTACTATAGGTCTCCAATCAAAACATAAAGATCAAAAGCATTTAGTGATAGTTAGTGATCTTTATAAAATGCAAA